CCAATCAAACTCAAGTTGAGCGACCTCGAGGTAGTACATACCTAGCAGCATGTCAAAGGGCAGTTTGTCGGTGACAAGGAATGAAATTTTATGTCTCACTTCCCTCCTCCATAACTGAACGTATAGACTACGTCCTTGACATAGTCTTTCACTATCATTTGGTGCTTGTTGGCTAGCGTAGAAGCTACGTCCTTGACATAGTCTTTCATTGCCATTTGGTGCTTGTTGGCTAGCGTAGAAGCTACAGTTCTGCTAAGCCGCTGCACTTGGTTCCGTAAGCGCAGTCTGTCCACACAAGCACGACTGATAAAATTCCATGTAGAGCCTATGTCTGCGAAGGCACCCACTTTGCGGCCACCTACATCAACCTCTACCATGAAATGTTCACCCCTAGGACCTCTACTGATCATCGCTCAAGAGTCTCTGGGGTCCTTCCCTGACCACTCAGTCTGTAACTCTTCTAGGGCCTCTGACACATCTCTCGAACAGAGCATCGGTGGGTTTGAATGTGTCTGCGGGGCGACGTATGGGTCACTAGCCTTGGCCAACGCCTGAAGTGGGGAAGGCAGCGTTACCACTTCAGCACGAGTAAGAGTGGCTAGCACTCCTACTGGCCCGAGGTGTTTCCCTGCGAAGTACTCGTAGAAGTACTACCAGGGTTTGAAGATAAGCCCACCATCGTAGGAGAGGCTACTTTCATAGTGACTTTTTTGCCTCGGCACGTTCTAGACGTGTGGCCATAGTTGCCACAATTCATGCACGTGCCCCTAGCAACCCTGTCTCTCCACACCTCGTAATCTAAACCAAGTTTTACTCATGTGGGTGTTCCTTGGTCACCCTGACCCTTGGACCGGCCTACCTTCTGCTTTCGGGTCCCCCTAACTTTCTCTTTGATAAGTGCCACGACTCCCCCATCCGAAGTCTCGCTGGCCCCATCCTGGTCTGTCTCTTCCCCATATTCTGGGAAGTCGTCGATCGCAGTCGCCTGATCATCATGGTCGACGAACATGAGTTGACCTTTCTTTTTCTAGTCTTGGGGGAGTCTCTTCTTTCTACCATCTCCCTGACTCTGATGCACAGACCCAACCTTAGCCTCTATATCTAAGGCTTTCTTGTTGAAAGTAGCGAAGCTATGTTGGTCAATAACTTATTCTTGACGTCTGTGGGTAGACATCTCAAATAGTTTGTGAGGAGTACTTGTGGGTCAAAACGCACACCAGGTACTACGATCAGACGTTCTACGACATCTATGACCTCGCGTACATTCTTGTACCTTTTGGCACAGAGCTTGTTGATCGCGTTGGTGGCCTTTTGAGCCCCTTGAGGGTCATGCCACCTCTTGTACACAGTCTGTACGAAGTCTTCCAATGTCTGGGCCTGGGCCCAGGCATAAAAAATATGACCATAGCCCTGCTGCTGCATTAACCCATTTAACCAACGCTCTGCCGATTCCTCTAAAAAGAAAGCAGCAACTATGAATTCCTGCTCTGGCCTTGTGAGCTTGTGCCTCACATAGGTAGGCACAGTCCTCACCCAGGTATCCAGGTCCTCGTCCTTCCTCCTGTCGCCAGAGAAGGGCATAGGACTCAGCAAGGGTATCTTGGGCATCCACTGCATGGGTTGGATCTGCCCAGGTGATTGCTGCAGTGGCTGCATAGCCACTGAGATAGGTTGCTGCACGCTAACCTGCGGCTGTCCAGACAATGGCACTGTAGCTGCCACAGTCCTCGATGGTACGTAAGAAGAAATAAGAACCGGACCACTAACTACAGGTTGACTACTTGAAAGAGGCGTGCCAAACATAGGAGAGAAAGAGGGCCCTACCGGCGACGGCGTCACTGAAGGACCCGCAACCGAAGGGGGAGCTACAACATACTGAGGCTGTCTCATCATAGGACAAGGAGCCTGCAGTGCAGCCAGAATTCGTTTCTGGTCTTCCACTAGTTCGGCCAGCACTTCCTGCTGGACAACCTACGTTTCTGCCACACAAAGGAGTGAGCGACGCAGCGCCCGCATTGCAGGGTCAAGTGTCGACCCGTCGAGTGCCTCTAAGTTCCTTAACTCCTGCCTCCTAGCTCGTAGTCTGCATAGCCCTTTTCTCCTGTCTGCTGCATCTCTTAATTGCTGCTGTAGTTGATCACGCAGTTCTTCCGCTTGGAGGATCTCATAATCCTCAGGTGCGAGTGGAATCTGCTGGCTGACTTGCAAGCCAACAGATTGACTAATAGAACTTTGAGAGACACCCTGATTGACACCTGACGGAAAGGCCTGTGACAAGGCCTGTGACACTGTAGAGGAGGTAGTCATCGCAACCTCACCCTGGACTCTAGCGTCTGCTAGTCTTGCTGCTGCAAGTGTCCGTTCAGTGTTGGTTGCCGCTGTCCTAGCCCTCTCTAATGTCGTCCTTTCCCTGGCTTCCCTTTCGCAGCCTCCTTTCCTCTCCCTGGCCTAACTCCAAGAAGGTAATCGGTTGACTGCGCGCAGTTCTACGAGTCACTCTCAGAGGTTCCACTACTCGTTCCTCCTCCTCACTACCGCCTGCATCACTCATGGGCTACAGTGTGTGTGATGTAAACTAGAATCCACACTGGATCCTACCTCAGCCTGACACACAACCGATTAATGTATAGCTATAAGTTCGGTCAATCTAGAGAGAAGTAGTCAAGTTGTAACCAGCAATCAATGTCAAGTCCTAAAGGTAAGTCTATTTCTATTTTTAGATTACTCTAAAACAGAATGCAATGCAGCGAGGAAAGAACTATCCTATCTGCAGCTGTCTGTTAGTTGTCACCAAGTCCGTACAACTAAATAATCAAAAATAAAAATGATTACCTCTGGAGATGCATGCTGGATGGCAGTTTTCTTAAATTAAAGTCACAGCGAACAGTTACCGGAATCCCCCCTCTCCCTGTATCCCTCTTGAGTAGTCTCTTTGTGTCAACGTCCTGAGCATCTGGTTGAGCAGCGTGTCTGCAGGTGTGCAATCCAGCCCACCCCTGTGCCCCCAGTCTATGCTGAACCTGCCAGCCCCTGCACGTTGTTTACCCTCGCATACCACGAGCCTTACTTCCGGTTTGATCTGGCTGATCAAGAGGCAGTGTAAGGACAGCCCCCAAGGTCCTCAGGAATTATTTAACGTCGCAGACAGGACAACGAGCACAGCCAGGGTTCAACACCGGAACCCGCCAGAAATATTTAGAGACGGTCTGGTAAGCGTCTGTTCAAAGGGCTGGCATGCCCTGCATGACCTCTATTGCGCAGCAGCAGAACCAAGGACTTGCGGCGAAGCATGCGTGTACTAGTCCCAGCGGGCTGGCATGGTGACCGTGACCCCGAGTGCTTCGTCCAGGGCCCTTCATAGGCTTCACCTGTCTCCCACCAGCTTGCTGCCCAGGAAGAATGTCGACTCTCAAGGTTGATCGCTCACGACACCTTACAGTGAGAGGACTCTCAAGATAGAACTCACTTCCTCACGGTAAGAAGTAATGAAGAGGGTAGATAAGGAAGGGAGCAACGTACCTCATAATGCTGCCCCCAACCACAGATTTCTCACCGGCAACCTGATGTGCATTATGATGACCGGTCTTTGCCTCGGCACAACAAACAGCAGAATGCAGTTCCACCTCGGCTTAAATGCCACATCAGCGAGCTCTCATCATCCAGCGTACACCCCTAAGGTCACCACATAGATTCCTGGCGCACCCACACGACCCTGGGCCGCCTATCATTCAACGCCCAAGCCTTATCACTGCCCCACACCTCATGCGAAGCACCAAACAGCTATTGCGAAGAATCAATGAAGCGCAGTTCGAACCAGCTCCGATACCAAATTGCAAGGAAAATGAGCAATAGCGATATGACAATATCCGGAATGCACAATCACATTGAAGGCCTGATAGTATCACAGTGTCCAGAAAGCAGAGCTGCACCAGTATAACGCCAATGAAGAATCGTAACACTGTAAACCAATGTCAATGAGGGCTTGCTCTCGCCACCACCAACATGAGAGTCCAGGTCCTTCTCCCTACTTGGCGCTCGGCGCCCAGCCTACTTCCTACACAGCTACTATCTACCTACTAATTGACAATGCAACTGTTGACGTCAGCAGCCCATGAAGTACTTGAAGATGTCGCCCATGCAGACCATCGCCAATACCAGGTATGTGCCCTCACATCATCATCATCATCATCATCATCATCATCATCCTTCTCTCTCTCCCCTGACTTACACCCACGTCTCCCTCTGTACACCCGAAGACCACCTCTGCGCCTCACTGTAGACCAAGTCCCAGCCAGCTATGAAGGCTGGGCTATGGCGCTGCCCTCAGCAGCGCCCTGACTCACACACGACCGCACGTGCTAGCACCTTGCCTCTCAGCGCCAGCAGCAGCCCACGAGCGTCCGCTTGAGCAGCGCTGCTACCAGCATGCAGTGCTGAATGCCAGCCCAGGCAGCGAGCTCTTCCCTATATGGAAAGAGCCTGTCCGATTGGCGGCTTGGCTGGCCTGGGGCTCTGCCCAGAAGCTTCCGGTAGGCCCCAGGAGGCTGTGCCTCCGATGCAGCTGCTGGGCCTCCGTTCGGTTGGGCCTCCCAACTGTCTGTGTATGAGGCCGCGATTGTCGCCCAGGGCCTGCATTTCCGAAAGGCCTGGAGGACCGTGGAATGTTTTTGCTGCTCGGCCTGTGTTCCCCTCAACCAACTGGCGCGTCACAACTGTCTGGACCCCAAATACAAAATTGACAGCCGAGGGCCTCTCATGATTTGTCAGGCCCGCCTTCACTTAGGGCGGGCACATCTGCGACAGAGGCCCCTTAGGCCTGCCGAGGACCCAGATCCTCGCAGTGGTGATAGCCCGTCTTTTACATGTGGACATTGACTGGGGGCACGAGATGGTCATGATTTTTTTTTTTTTCGCATGGATAGGCTCTGGAGTCTGGATGCTGTTGGACGTCTTTTTTTTCGTTTTTGAACAGAGATCGTGAACTTGTTGTGGTTTTGTAGTTGGTGGAACAGGTCTGCAATATCTGCAACCAAGGAGATCAAGATGCGCTTCTACTTCTGTGTGATAGATGTGATCAGGGCGCTGCACATACATTTTGCTTAGACCCACCTCTTCCAGCTGTGCCTCCTGGCGAATGGATATGCGATCGATGCATGCAATGGGGAAGGTAATTGCGTTGTTTCACTGCATCTTCCTCTCACACATCCCTCCTCCCTCTATAGCCCCCAACACCTCCGCGCCCCCTCTTTCGTCCCCCAGAGGGTATGCCAGAATTTGAGGGGCCGGACAGGGTTGCTCCACCAGGCTATGCCATGCAAATGTAGTGGAATCGTACAGTCAAATGATACCATTATAGAATCCTCCTCCTTTGTTCCCAAAATCACGTAACCCTTTGGAGTGTTGCGTTCTTTGTGAAGTTTGAACTCACCGTCTGCTCGTCACAAGTTCACGTACATACCACTCAGTCACAGTGACGTACATGAATGATTGAATGCCATGAAGATAAACAGTCTTAAAGCTCGTAAGACGTGTACCCTGCTACATTCGTGACAAGTTAGCATGCACCTAGTCAGCATCAGGAAGAGGTCTGTTTGGTCTTGGCACATACAGATCTCCAGTGGGCCTGCTCCCTGACGACCCTATGAATGTAGCCGTTTCTTTGTTTATAGTTCCTAGTTTTCTTTTCCTTTTTGCAAGCACTGTCCCACAATCTGACTCTGCAATAGTCTATGCGGGGGTGGCCGCATTGGCGGAGATTTCACGGCGGCCGGCATTTTTGTTGGATCATTGTTCGTGTTTCTCAACTCTCTATTGACTTGTCGGGGACTGTATCCCAAATTGTGTGTGTGTGTGTGTGTGTGTGTGTGTGTGTGTGTGTGTGTGTGTGTGTGTGTGTGTGTG